TGTGAACCCTCGTCTCTGAATGCTTCTCTCGAAACCCTAAACCCTAAACCCTAAACCCTAGCCCTAGGCGTAGAGACCAATTCACTTGTGTGACTTCTCGAGATTGCAAAAAGCTGCTGCGGGAAATAGACCGGAACAGAGACGGGCAAATAGACCTCAAGGACTTCCAGGAGGTCCCAAACCCTAAACCCTAAACCCTAAACCCTAAAGCATTAAGTGCACAACCACAAGCCCTCATCAAGTGAATCTCAGGAGCGTTTAATGTTTACCAGTCAAACCCTAGACCCTAAACCCTAGTTCGAAATCCGAAGCCCTAATTGGTAAACCCTAAACCCTAGCCAACTCTCTAAACCCTAAACCCTTAAGCTGTGGTCACTTCGTTGCTATTGTGAACCCTCGTCTCTGAATGCTTCTCTCGAAACCCTAAACCCTAAACCCTAAACCCTAAACCCTCGGAAGCACAGAAGGATGCAGGAGCAGAAGGAAGCGGGGCTAGGGTTTAGGGTTTAGGGTTTGGGGTTTTCTTTCGCTGCGCGCAGTGGGTCGCCGCCCGGTAAGGAGGAGTCCCGAAACCCTAAACCCTAAACCCTAAACCCTAAACCCTCGTCAGCGAGCTCTCGGACGTCTGCAGACCCGAAGCACTAAACCCTCATTGAGCAGCTTAAACCCTAAACCCTAAATTGGGGCTTGGCTTTTAGCACCAGCGCCTGTGAGGGTTTAGGGTTAAGGAAGCGGCGGGGAGTCGCCCGCCTGTCTCAAGCCCTAAACCCTAAACCCTAAACCCTAAACCCTAGCTTTCTAGGGTTTGAGGCGCGTGAGCAACAGCTCTGTCCGAGCCCTTCTTTTTTTTTTTCCTTTTCAAAAAGACAAGTCTTAAGGATAAATAAAAACCACGGTTTAGGGTTTAGGGTTTAGGGTTTGTTTCCGCTGCTGTATGGATTGCCTCTGAGTTATCTGTCCCCTTTTTAGGGTTTAGGGTTTAGCTGTGTCAGTTTTCTTCGCACTTCACGAGAAACCCTAAACCCTAAACCCTAAACCCTTGACCGCGAGGGTTTAGGGTTTAGGCCTGACAGTTTGAGACCCAAAAAATTCACTAAGGGGCGATGCCCTGTTTGCAGCAAAGCCTCTTTTGCTGCTCTTGCCATTGTTGCTGCTGCTGCTGCTGCTGCTGCTGCTGCTGCTGCTGCTGCTGCTGCTGGCTCTTGCTGCTTTGACCCTGGGGGGCTTGGGGTTTGCAGCAGCAGCAGCAGCAGCAGCAAGAGACGGGAAGTGCAGCAGCTGCTGCTGCTCATCTGTTGCCTTTCTAAAATCTGTGGGGTATGCAAGAACCCCTGCAAAGGACCTAGCATTTGCTGCTGCTGCTGTTGCTGCTGCTGGTGCTGCTGCTGCTGCTGCTGCTGCTGCTGCTGGTGCTGCTGCTGCTGCTGCTGCTGCAGCAGGCGCTCCTAGAGACGGAAACGCTGTGGGGTCGTCTGGCGTTTGCTGCACTGCTGCTGCTGCTACAGGTGCAGCAGCAGCAGCAGCAGCTGCTGCTGCTGCTGCTGCTGCTGCTGCCTTCCGTGCTGCTGCTGCCTCCCCTTGCTGCTGCCGCTGCCGCTGCTGCTTCCGCTGCTGCTCCCGCCGCCGCAGGTCCGCCTGTGCGCAGCAGCACCCAGTAAACCCTAAACCCTAAACCCTAAACCCTAAACCCTAGGCCACGAGTCCTGGGCCTACACTCTGATTCTTAGTCGAGAGACCTGGCATAAGAAACAGGGTTTAGGGTTTAGGGTTTAGGGTTTAGGGTTTACTACACCTCGAAGTGCTGCAGCGTTGCGGGGGAGAGCCAGCCATCTGCAGACACGCACGCAAACCCTAAACCCTAAACCCTAAACCCTAATTTCAAAACCCTCAAACCCTAAACCCTTGATAAGCCCCCAGCAATTCGCATGCGTGGGAGGCCCGTCCAAGAAACCCTAAACCCTAAACCCTAAACCCTAAACCCTAAACCCTAAACCCTAAACCCTAAACCCTACCTAGGTTTGCTTCGGCAAGTTTAGCACAAGTGTTTTTGGGGAGGTGCTCCAGCAGCCTGGGGGGTCTGTGCTGCCGCTGCTGCTGCTGCTGCTGCTGCTGCTGCCGCCGTTGCTGCTGCTGCTGCTGCTGCTGCTGCAGCGGCTGCAGCGACAGCAGCTGAACGTCCGGCAGCACCGGAGGCAGCAGCGAGGGGTCTCCCCCGGCCTCGTGCAGCAGCAACCTACCCTAAACCCTAAACCCTAAACCCTAAACCCTAAACCCTAAACCCTAAACCCTAAACCCTAAACCCTAGGGCTCCTGACTTCAACTGCAAACCCTCGAAGATAAACTCTTACTGCTTCTAGCGGCCCCAATAGTACTTCTACCCCGCCTCTAAACCCTAAACCCTAAACCCTAAACCCTAAACCCTAAACCCTACTGGTAGCAAAAAGGGTGAAGGAAAATTGGCTGTCCGTCTGCTGCTTGGTAAAAGCTGAAGCCACTGCTGCTGTTGCTGTTGCTGCTGTTGCTGCTGCTGCTGCTGCTGCTGCTTCCCGTGTGCCTTCCTGCTTCCAGCTGCTGCTGCTGCTGCTGCTGCTGCTGCTGCTTAGCGGCACGGCTTTTGAGCTGCTGCTCATGGGCCATTTGCAGCAATGTGGTGAAGACCTGAGGAACGCAAACCCTAAACCCTAAACCCTAAACCCTAAACCCTAAAACCTTAACCAAATGTAACACCTCAAACCCTCAGTCAAACCCTAAACCCTAAACCCTCTCCTACAAACCTGCATGCGCTCATGGAGTGGTTTGAGACGCCTCAGATTGCTGCTGCTGCTGCTGCTGCTGCTGCCGCTGCTGCTGCTGCTGCTGCATTCCCTTGCTGCTGCAGCGCGTGCAGCGAGAGCCTCCACAAACTTCAGCGCCTGAAAACGTGAACCCTAAACCCTAAACCCTAAACCCTAAACCCTAACCCCTAAACCCCAAAAGAAGAGGCCTAAGCTCTAAAAGCTAAAACTCTTTCTGTTGCAGCTCAAGGGTTTAGGGTTTAGGGTTTAGGGTTTAGGGCCCACCTCCTGTAGCTCTTCTGCGGCTTCCACATCTGCAGCTGGCCCCTCTAAACAGCCGATCATTCTTGCTTCTGAGCCCAAACCCTAAACCCTAAACCCTAAACCCTAAACCCTAACCCCCAAACCCTGAACCCTAAACCCTAAACCCTAAACCCTATTCCTACGTCTCTCGCCCCCAAATTCCTGCCTTGTTCTTTAAGCGGCACAATAATGCTGCTGAAGCTGTTCTAGGGTTTAGGGTTTAGCAATTAGGGTTTAGGGTTTAGGAATTAGGGTTTAGGAATTGGGGTTTAGGGTTTAGCAGCACCTAGGGCTTCTGTGTGCTCCCTCCACATTTGCTGCGGGTCCTCAACGGAAGCAATAGAATTGAAAAAGGCATCTGCGCACAAACCCTAAACCCTAAACCCTAAACCCTAAACCCTAAACCCTAAACCCTACAGCTCAGTACTGACGCAGTGCATTTCCTGCAGCGGCCTTAGGGTTTAGGGTTTAGGGTTTAGGGTTTGGATGGCGTACGGAGCGAGGACTCCGGGATAAGCCAGTTTCCCTGCTGCTGCTGCTGCTGCTGCTGCTGCTGCTCTGCTGCAACAGCAGCAGCATCCGCAACAGCTGCAGCGAGAGCCTCGGCTTGGGCCCTTGCTGCTGGCGTGTCAGCAGCAGCAGCAGCAGCAGCAGCAGCAGCAGCAGCAGCAGCAACAAATGCAGCACTTAAAAAAACAAAAGAACTTCCTTGAGGCCTCACAATGAGGCAAAACGTCGTGCGGCTGCCCTCCGCTATGGGGGCAATCTGAACCCACAAACCCTAAACCCTAAACCCTAAACCCTAAACCCTAAACCCTAAACCCCAAACCCTAGGCAGCGCGTTTTCCCTCGTTTTGCCTCTGTGAGCTCCAGGGAGGTAAACTGCTGCAGCAGGCAGCAGCGCCTCTGCGGCGGGGCGCCCGAAGACTTAGGGTTTAGGGTTTAGGGTTTAGGGTTTAGGGTTTAGGGTTTGCCTGGTGCAGCAGCAAAGGCCTCAAGTCGTCAGCAGCCAACAGCCGGTGGCAAAGGGGGCAGCGAGGAGAGCCCAAGTGGTTTAGAAGGCGGCAGGCGCAGGGGGCGCACATTGCTGCTCGCAAACCCTAAACCCTAAACCCTAAACCCTAAACCCTAAACCCTAAACCCTAAACCCTAGGTCCCAAACCCTAAACCCTAGGCCCTGGGCCTCGGCTGCGGGGCGCCAGCTGCTGCGCGGGGCGGCTCAACTGGCGGGCGGGGGCTGATAGTTGCTGCGAACGGCGCAGCAACAAAACCCTTTTTTAGGGTTTAGGGTTTAGGGTTTAGGGTTTACGGTGGCCGCATCTTGACGTCAGCAGCGTTGCTGCAGCTGCTGCTTCCTCCAAACAAATGGGACAAATTAACTCTTCAGTCAAAGGCTGCAGCCGAATGGAGCAGCAAACGCCGCCCCATGCTGCAGCAGCAACAGCAGCAGCAAAAGCAGCAGCAGCAGCAGCAGCAGCAAAAGCAGCAGCAGCAGCAGCAAAAGCAGCAGCAGCAGCAGCGGGGACAATACGGGCGGTTTGAGAGCAGCAGGGAGCGTGGAGGTGAAGCAGCAACTACTGCAGCAGCAGCAGCAACTGATGCAGCAACAGCAATTAGTGCAGCAGCAGCAGCAGCAGCAGCAAAATAAAAGGTGTAAGGGCTGCTACACTTCAGGAGACTCCCAATTAGGGTTTAGGGTTTAGGGTTTAGGGTTTGTCCTACCGAGATCATCTGCGTGGTTGGGCTTCTTGATATACTGCAGCTGAGGCAGCGGGTCCTGCTGCTGCTGCTGCTGCTGCTGCTGCTGCTGCTGCTGCTGCGGCGCCATTAGGACGCGGCACTTGGCTAGCAAGAACCCATGGGGGTTCCGCGCAGCAGCAGCAGCAGCTGCTGCTGCTGCTGCTGCTGCCCGTTGCTGCTGCTGCAGCGGAGGGCGCTGCTGCTGCTGCTGCTGCTGCTTCGGCCGATACCGAGAAAAAGATAAAACAGCAGCAGCAGGAAGAGACACTGCCTGCGGCCTCCGCCCTCGCGAAGGCCGCTCTTGCTGCTGCTGCTGCTGCTGCTGCTGCTGCTGCTGCTGCTGCCGCTGCTGCTGCTGCTGCTGCTGCTGTGGTTGTGGCGACGGTGGCTGGTGATGCGTGTTGTGCTGCTGCGGCTCTTGCTGCTGCTGCTGCTGCTTCTGCTGCTGCTGCTGCTCTTCCAGCAGCTGCTGTTGCTGCTGGCGCTCCGCCTCGCGATGCTGCTGCACTTGCTGCTCAGGCTGCTGCTCCGTGGTGCGCTGCTGCTGCTCTTGCTGCTGCTGCTGCTGCTGCTCTGGCTGCTGCTGCTGCTGCCTTTCCTGCAGCAGCAGCTGCTGCTGCCCTTGCTGCTGCGGCGGCGTGTGTTGCAGCTGCCGCTCTCGTTGCTGCTGCTGGCTTTGCTGCTGCTGCTGCTGCTGCTGCTGCTGCACCTCCATGTTCTGGTCGTGCTGATGGCGTTCACTCTCGTCAGGCAGTAGCTGCTGCTGCTGCTGTTGCTGCTGCTGCTGCTGTTGCTGCTGCTGCTGCTGCTGTTGCTGCTGCTGCTGCTGTTGCTGCTGCTGCTGTTCTCGCTGCTGCTGTTGCAGCGCAGGATCTTTCCGCAACGGCTCCATTGTGCAGGCTTGAGGGCGTTGCTCCTGCCCTTGCTGCTGCTGCTGCTGCTGCTGCTGCTACTGCAGCTGCTGTTGCTGCTGCTGCTGCTGCTGCTGCTGCTCTATTTGTCTTGTTGTATGCATAAGGCGAGCCCTCGCTGCTGCTGCTGCTGCAGCGGCCGCAGCAGCTGCTGCTGCTTAGACACGACAGCGTACGTGTCAGCCACCAGCCAGCAGCAGCAGCAGCAGCAGCTGCTGCAGCAGCTGCAGCTGCTGCAGCAGCAGCAGCTGCTGCTGCTGACCTCTTTGGGTTTCAACTAAGCAATCTAAGGGAAGTCATAGTCAGCAGAGAGCCTGTGGCTGCTGCTGCTGCCGCTGCTGCTGCTGCTGCCGCTGCTGCTGCTGCTGCTGCTGCTGGTGTTCGTGTTGCTGTCTTTCGTCCTGCTGCTGCTGCTAGTGCTGCTGCAGCAGCAAAGCTTATCTCACTGCAGCAAAAGCAAACTTGAGCGCCAGGCTCAAGAGTCCCAGTGTGAGCGTATAAGCAGAAGGAGCAGCAGCAGCAGCTGCTGCTGCTGCAGCAGCAGCTGGGTGTTGCTGTACTGCAGCAGCAGCAGCAGCAGCAAACGGGCTAGCAAGGCCTCAGCAACTCCCCCTCAATTAATATAAAAAGAGCTCCTTAACTAATGAGACTCAAAGAAAGAATCTACAAATAGTAAAGCTGCTGCTGCTGCTGCTGCTGCGCTGCTGCTGCTGCTGCGCTGCTGCTGCTGCTGCATGCGTTGGCAGCGCCGCAGCAGCAGCAGCAGCAAAAAGAGAAGCTAAAAAGAAACTTTAAATTCAAATAAATAGAAAATAAATTAAATTAAATTAATTTATTTATTTTTCTGCTTCAATTAAATACAACTGAGACGCAAGCAGCAGCAGCTGCTGCTCTCCTGAGGTGTACGTACACCTCAGGACAACGCCCCCCAAACCCTAAACCCTAAACCCTAAACCCTAAACCCTAAACACCAACTGACCGCATGTGCCGCTTTTAGAGGCGGCCACAAATAACTCAACGAATTAGGGTTTAGGGTTTATTTAGGGTTTAGGGTTTAGCCAAGCTGCTTGATTCCCGTTCAGTGTTGACTGGTAGCAGCAGCGGCACGTAAACCCTAAACTCTAAACCCTAAACGCTAAACCCTAAACCCTAAACGCTAAACCATAAACCCTGAAGCTCCTACACCTGAATACACTAGTTCGGCGCACAGTCAGACCCTAAACCCTAAACCCTAAACCCTAAACCCTAAACCCTAAACGCTGGATCTCAAACCATAAACTGAGGGTTTCAGCCCCACGGGTTTGCAAACCGCAGCCTAGGGTTTGGCGCTTCCACTTGGAGGTTTAGGGTTGGGGCCTAGGGTTTATTAAAGGCTGCACTCAAGGGTTTAGGGTTTAGGGTTTGGGTTTAAGATTGCCAAAACGCTTCTTGCTCCAGCTGCAGCAAACCCTAAACCCTAAACCCTAAACCCTAAACCCTAAACCCTAAACCCTAGACCCTCACTGCGCTGGAGCCCCGGGCCCAGGCTGTGGCGCGAGGCGCGGTGGCCCTAGGGTTTACGGAACCCAGTTGAGGGTTTAGGGTTTACCACCTAAACCACAGGGCTTAGGGTTTAGGGTTTAGGGTTTAGGGTTTAGGGTTTAGGTGTCGATGGCTTCTGCCAGCCGCTGCAAACCGCTGAAGATCTCCAAAGCCGTTTGCGCCCACCGCGAGGGACCCGTATCAGCTGCAGCAAACCCTAAACCCTAAACCCTAAACCCTAAACCCTAAACCCTAAACCCCTGATACACTCTCGAGGGGCTCCAAGGTAAACTCACCGCTGAAGAGCCGCAGCACTCGACGCTCTGCGTCAATCCGCCCCTCCTGCAGCCGCAGCAGCAGCAGCGGCAGCAGCAGCAGCAGCAGCAGCAGCAGCAGCAGCAGCAGCAGCAGCAGCAGCAGCAGCAGCAACAGCGAAAAAGCGGAAGAGTTCAGTAGAGACAAAGAAGAAGCTGCGAAAAGTGGCGACAAGCCAGCTGCAGCAGCAACAGCAGCAGCAACAGCAGCAGCAACAGCAGCAGCAACAGCAGTAGCAGCAAAGACAGCAGCAACAGCAGCAGCAGCAACAGAAGCAGCAGCAACAGTAGCAGCAGCTCACAATTCGTCCTAAAGACAACAAGTCAACGGCGAGTTCTTCTGCCTGAGCTCAAAACCCTAAACCCTAAACCCTAAACCCTAAACCCTAAACCCTAAAGCCTGTCGGCAGCAAGCGGCAACTCGGGCACGGCCTTGCTGCGGGACCTAGCCAACAAGGGTTTAGGGTTTAGGGTTTAGGGTTTAGGGTTTAGGGTTTACTTCTTCCTCTGAAATGTCAAGAGACTCTGCGAGTCGCGAAAAGGGCAACGAGGTGTACAGACAGCACAGGGCGCAAAAATCTGCAGCAGCAGCAGCAGCAGCAGCAGCAGCAGCAAAAGTAGCAAGGATTGAGGGCGAGCAGCAGCAACACAGCAGCAGCAGCTGCTGCTGCTGATCTGTCTGCAGCAGCAAACGCAGCAGCAGCAGCAGCAGCAGCAGCAGCAGCTGGAGAGCTCTAGGAAAGGCAGCAAATGCAGCAATAATAATAGCAGCAGCAAAAGCAGCAGCGGAAGCAAAACGCAACAGCAGCGGCAGCAGCAGCGCCCACAGCAAACGGAGCAGCAGCAGCAGCAGCAGCAGCAGCAGCAGCAACAGAAGCAGCAGCAATCAAAGCAGCAGTAGAAGCAACAACAATAACGCCAGCAGCAACAACAGCAAAAAAGAGAACAACAGGAGCAGCAGCAGCAGCAGCAACAGCAGCAGCAAGATCAACTGCAGCAGCAGCAGCAGCAGCAGCAGCAGCAGCAGCATCAGCAGCAGCAGCAAAAGCAGCAGCAGACTTTTGTGCAGAATTGCCGTCCGAACAGTGGAGGTTATTTGGCCCTCAGCAGCCATGGTAGCTGCAGCAAACCGCAAATGCCCCAAACCCTAAACCCTAAACCCTAAACCCTAAACCCTAAACCCTAGAAAAAGAGCTTCAAAAGCAGTCCACGCAGGAGCAGCAGCTAGCAAACCCTCAAGATCGAAGGGCTACAAATTAGGGTTTAGGGTTTAGGGTTTAGAACTCAGTGACTCCTCAGTTCAGGAGCAGCAGCCGCCGCTTTAGGGTTTAGGGTTTAGGGTTTAGGGTTTACTCATAATTGCATTTGCTGCTTCTTTAGAT